TTGTGAAGGTTGTTATAAGCACAGAATTAGGCAGCTCTTTAAAAATAGCAGCTGCAGGACCACTCACTGTGACCCTGAATCTGACTCTATGGGGCAAGGTGAAAAGTGACCAGCAATTGGTTCTCACTGTGACCATTTGACTAACTTCTCTTAAATCTCAACCTCTCACCTGCTCCACAAAGAGCCTCCATTTTTACAGTCATGGTATCGCTGTCTCATTCTGTGAATCCATTCCTCACAACACAGGCTCAAAAACGCACGCCCTCCAAAAAGAAGCCTGCTAAGTAACATTTTTAAAAAATGCTTTTCTTTTCCCAGATACATCCCTTGGCATTGTTAAGCTTCCCTTGTGAAAAAATTTAAAAGTCTTTTTCCTCTTTATTTAGGAAAACTATAGGGATAAAACCTCTCATCAAAGATGCAACAGTATAGTGTTTCTGGACAATTCTTTGGGGGAAGAATCACAATAGAACATTTGCTGAATAGCATATTTCAAGTTTTTAGGTAAATTTAACATAGTGCATTAGACATTCAAAGTCTCAAACATGATTTAAGGTGTTCCATTCAGGGCTGAAATCAAGAGTTCTGACCTTTGAGGTCCAGCAGCCTCTGTGGTCCTTCCTTCCACGCTCACCGCCCTGGTAGGTGGCACAGCCTCGGCCGATGCGGAGCCAACAGACTCGGGAGCTGGGTCTCTGGTCCAAAGGCCCAAGTCAATAATGGCGAATCTGGGCGGTGGGGAGACACCCAGGGTGCCCGCCCTCTGCCAGTGCCAGCCTTCTCGACGGAAACATTATGAACTTCCAGTTGCTGTGGAAACGGACTCTGCTGAATGCAACTGATACCCAGTGACTGGTAAGTATTGACTTTCCTAACCCAGAGAAGTGCCGATTTACCTAAATCATACCCGAAACATCTATGAACAAATCCAATTTCATGTTGAAACCTGGAGCCTCAAGAAACACGCATTTCTTTCCAGGATTGCTTAGCTGGAGAGCATGGTTCGTATGATGACGTTGTGTTCCTTGGTGCTAGAAACTTTGAGCTGAGTCCGTGGGGATGGAGGGGGGCGGGTGAGAGGCTGGCTGTCTGTGTGAGCCGGCGGGGGTGCTGAGGGGCCGCAGCCCTGGCGCTGTTTACTCAGGGACACCAGGCGGCACTGAGTACGGGACACGTGGCTGTTTACCCTGGGGAGCTCACATCTGAGACGGCGCCCTAACTCCATGGTAGGAGTGAGGCGGAGTGCGGGGGTGGGGGGAGGCCGATGACAGCCCTGAGCTATGTCAGGGAAGAGCTCCTGGGGGTGACTTCAGGGTTGGGGGTTGCCTCACAGGGAGAGCAGTCGGAGAGGCCCCTGGAGGCAGCGAGTAGAATGAGTCGGATGTGTGGGAGGAGGATGTGGCGTTCAGGGAACGGGGCAGTCCAGAAGGGCCGGGCCGCGGGAGGAAGTCACGGAAGCACACGAGACAGGAAGGGCGGCTTGGAGCCAGGTCGCTCAGGCCCACTGCACTTAGTTACGAGGAGACTGTGGGAGCCTTCAGATGCTTTAAAACAGGTAGGTGACCAGAACAGTTCCAAGTTTTAGAAAGACCACGCTGGTCTTCCATTTAAAGACAAACTGGACACCCGTGGGGTTGAGTCTATTCTGTCAAAGTCGGCCACCACCATAGACCCTCCTCCTGCATTTCTTCTTACAGTGTGACTTCAACACTCTTTCTGTGGAGTGGTGAAGTGTGTGCCCCTCCCCTTGAGCCTGGCCAGCAGCAGAGGAAGTGACTCCGTGTATGATGTTACTTTGTTCTCTTGTGACACGTGCTCTGGGAAAGCAGCATATGCTGTGAGGAAGCCCAGGCCACACGGGGGCCGTGGGTCAGTGTTCACGCTGCCAATCAGCATCGACCACTAGACGTACAGATGGTCCAGCCCCAGCCACTATCTGACTGCAGCCACGAAACTCTGAGAGAGGACCTCCTATCTGAGCCCCCAGAAGTACAAGGTAATAATCAGTGATTGTGGTTTTCAGGACATTGGGTTTGGATGTGCTTAGTCATGCAGTTATAGAAAACCAGGAAACATGCATTTTTTGGCTCCCTGCCAAAACCTACTAACAGGCCAGTGAATACCTGCAGAGGTATGACGTAAAGGACAAAGAAAGTGCAAGAGGTACAGGGTACGGGAATGGTCAGCTCCTCTCTGGAAGGTCTGACACTCATGGACAGTGGCAGCTCACTTGGCAAAGGAGAAAGCTAACGCCACAGTGCCCCCAGGGACAGGTGCTGGGGGACACACCGGCCCCTGCCTCTGGAAGGCTCTGGAACAGGAGGTACAGGGTCTGGGAAGGCTGGGGTGGGGGACTAGTGGCAGCACAGTTCAGAGTCTCTGTAAGGAGTCCTAAGACCCTCACCCTCTGACCCTATACAGACAAGTGACTGCCCTGCCCTGGCAGGAGACAGGAAGTTTCTTCTCTGGAAAAAAATAAGAACTGGAGGAGGAACAGGCCCCCACCCCCAACACACACACACTTTGGATTCAGCTTCTAAACAGGGGCCTTGTTTCCTGCCTGCCAAGTTCCCTCTCCTTGACAGTTGACAATGTATGCTCAATAGAAGGAATCAAAATTCTTACCGAGTGCAAGTGATTTTACTATCACTGAATGATGTTCTAACCTGAAAGTGTCTGAGAAGACCCACTGTGAAGGACTTTCAGCGGCCCTGGCTCAGGCCTTGGATTTTATCTCATTAGCAAAGGTCCCTAACTGATTCTGAGGCCCAGAACCATGCTGAGGAGATGCTGCTTGGCCTGCAGTTTAAAAGCCATTTGCAAACTGCCAACATTTTAAAGTTAAGAGAGTTCATTTACAAATCTGGACTTCCGGGTTCTCTCGAGAAATCTGATACACGTCATCTCTGAGCTATGTTCCAGGTGCTGATGAGGGGCTACCCCTTTTAAGTGGGTAGCGAGCACTCCAGGTGTCACTACCACCATTTAACATGCTAATGGTGTTTACTGACCTCCTTTAGATTATCCGCCAGACTCCTACCACAGCCCCCACTTTAGGCCTTTGAGTTTCCATTTTAGCCCTAAGCAATGCAGAACCATTAAAGAACTTTATAAACAGAAGAGGGCGAGGCCATTAAAGAACTTTATAAACAGAGGAGGGCGAGGAGTGGTTGATCACTCAGGCAGCAGCGGGAAGAAAGGAAGGATGAAACAATGGATGGGGAAGGCGGCCAGTTGAAGCTGGTTAGGACGGTTAGGAAGCCCAGCAGTGAGACACCTAAGGCCTAAACTAGGGACCAGAGCAGGAGGGGCCTAATGTGTGGGCAGAATGAGGAGGGTTGGGTGGTGTTTAGACCCTCAGTCCTGACAGTGTACCCTAACCTCCTGGAAGGCCAGCAGCCTCAGGCATCATACCCTCCCCGCAAGGTGCAGGTCAGGAGCCAAAGCAAAGCACAGAAGAGAAAGGCTTTTCCAAGGAACCTCTGGCTTCGAGGTCATTTCCTGGCCTGTAGTGAACAGGCTGTGGGGTTGAAATAACCCCTTCTTTAAGAAACTCAAGGAATGCTACTGAGTTTTTACTTTGTGAGGGAAAGGCTGGCAGTCCCCAGTAGTTTAGCTCTTCAGGAGGTGCTGGCCTCAAAATTGACAGTCCCTTTTCAGGCAGCATTAAAAAAAAATCCTCCTGAGCATATTCTAAAACAGGGGACCAAGGACAGGTGCATTTTTCTGAGAAGATCATCTGATTTTCCATCATGTTTCCAAGATACTTGAGCCAAATACAACTTTTCAAGGCACAGGAAGCCCCAGATCAGAAACCAAAGGGTCATGGCTCTCAGTAAGAGCCATTCTGGAGGGGCTCTGGACCCACTCGGGCAGCGTTCCTGTGTTCCAGAGCCACCCATTCACCGCAGGGTCGGTCTCTCTCCTCCTGGGAAGAACAAGGACCATTTACATAGAAGTTGAGACTTCTTCAAGTAGCCTTCTACTGTGACAACCATGGAGGTGGGTAGAGAGGGTTTTTGTCCTTTCAAAGTCCTCAAGGACAGAAGAAATAAGCAGAAAGAACTATTAATAAAATAAACATTCCACCACTTGCTAGCCATGTGACTTTGGAAAAGGCATCCTGTTTAAGGCCTCAGCCCCATAGTTGTTAAAAAAAAGATACTACCATCTACTTCACAAGGTTGTTATGAAGATTAAACAGGATAATGGTTAACGTGCAATTTGGTATTCAGTGATTACATCTGCTTAGATTCCATTCTTTTTAAAAAAGGCTAATAACAGTAATATGAGGTTTAAAAGTTTATTTTATAAACGTCATTACACAAGTAACAAGTTTCACAAAATCATTACTGTGTATAGTAATAAAGCATAAGCTATTACAGAAAAATTGATAAAGATGTACATAAGTACATATGAAGGTAATTGTCTTCCCATCTATGAAAATAGAAAGGAAAACCATTACTTATGCTATCACATAATCAAAACTTGATTCCCATTGACTTAACATTTATCATTTAAATGCAAATTTAAAATAAGCGTGGACAGCAAAAAGCATTTACTCTGTGTTAGGTACAAAATGAAACTCATGATATAGTTCCTGCTCTCAGTTAATAATTGCAGAACAGACTGGTTAAGTGTTTTGGGAAAAAAGCCCTGCCCGAGGACCACAAAAGGCAGAGGTCTCACTCACAAACACCATGCCAGGAGCCAGATGCCCCGGGCTCACATCACAGCTCCAGGAAGTCACCAAACCTTGTCTTTACCAAGTTCATCTATAAAAACGGGATGAGATGAACATCGTTCATCATCCACTGTTGCTGGGAAGTGCATTCATCCAGTAGATGCCGACTTCGTATCCACCCCGTACAAGGCACTGCCTTGAGGGCTGAGCAAGAGAGAGAGGAGGCACCTCTGGATACAGGACTCAGACTGGGTAGGTGCTGAGATGATGCACACACTACATACAGACACATCATTCCTGCCAAGCCCTGTCTCTCTGAAGGAGTCATCTTCAGGCATAGTCAAAAAATTAAAAAGAAAAAAATCTTTTAAATTGCATTCAAAAGGTTAAACAGAAAGTGTCTTTTTTTTTTTTGCCATGCATTTTTGGAATTAGATCAGTGATTTAGGCCTGTAGAATGCATCAGAATGATCTGTGATGCTCGGCACAAGTGCTGATGCCAGGCCACACCCAGAGCTTAGTTTCATAACCAACAGGGCCTGGCAGTTCTGAAATGCACCCCAATCAAAAACACTGTATTTTAAAGGCTGATAAAACACTCTTAATTAAAAGCACTGTTAGTGCAAATGTGGATACTTCATATTAATGGTCAAAAAAAGTATAGCTATAAAAATACATGTATGTTTTTACACAGTGTGTATTTTTTAAATTATAAAATCCATCAAGTGTTCCAAAGTCACTAAGAGTTCTCACTAAAAAACTTCTATGGAAAACACAATGGACCAAAAAATGGGACTACGGCAATGCTGAACTCAGCTTGCAGGAGGCTGTTACCTGCTGTTACTAGTCTGTGTCATTGTACATGCTTCTGTTTTCAGGGGAAGAAAAGTGCTCAAGCACATCAAGATTATGAATGCTTGCTACTACTTTTAATATTAACATTAAACAACTAAACTTTAACCAGAAACTTACTGAATACTATTACAAATAGAACAAACCACTATGGCCTCGTTTACAACATATCCTTTAAGGTCAAAAGGACAAGATCAGAGTCCTGGCTTCCTTTTCTGCACCTGTAGCACTGGGAAGCTCACTTCACTTACCTGGCCTCAGTTCCTGCACCTCAGTAAAATGAAATAGCAGCGCCTTGTTCACAGAGCTGCTGAATATTAAATGGAGAAAATTAAGAAAACTATGAGCCATCATAGAAACAATTATTGTTTATTATTCATTTCAAAATCTGGTACAACTGCAATGTGTTTGCAAAAAACCTCACTGATGTGTGTAAAGCTATATCTAGATGGATTACATAATATTAAAAACTTAGTTTTTGAAAAGGAGTACACATTGAAAAAGCAGTCCATGTTTACAAGGTTTTACCATCAAAATACAGGGTTATCTGAGGCACATCACTTGACCTTTCTGGTTCTCACCCATTTCTTTTTAAAAATCTTTCTGACAGAAAACGATTTGACGGTATCATCTCTTGAGATCTCTTCCAGATTCAAGACTGTGGTTCACCACGACGTTATAAATTTCTCTCGTTTCCCCACTTACTTCCTTGCAAGGTGAGAACAAGGGAGAAAGGAAAAGGAACGTACTTAAAGCGTTTCCTAGCAAATAGAAAAATTACAAGATTATGGACAAAATACTCAAAGTTGGTGTCACCCTTATAAAAGCCCAAATGGGTACTGTTTAAGAGAAAAGATTAACCCATCCATCTTGGGAGTCAGTATTTATTCATAATAAACAAGAAAAGTGAAGGGAAAATCAATCAGCAGGGGATCTCCGCCCACAAAGCACAGTGATCAAGGGGCCTAGCCTAAGCACTTCAGGGCAAGTAGGATGAAACAGCGGTCAGCGCCTTCCAAAGCAAGTCAAATCATAAATTAAAAGACAAGTATCTAATGCAAGCCTACAACCCAAGATCCATAGGATCAAGAGGAGCAATGATACGTATACATTTAAGCAATTCTGCACTCTCTCTAAATACACTTAAGCATCGCTGTTGACTAGTTCCAAATCGCGAGAAGACGCACGGACGTTTGGATCACAGGTTCCTGAAAAGACCATAAATAATAGGTTTGGGAAGGTTTCAACACTTTACCTGATACTCCCAGAAGCTGGTGCATCCTCAGACCTTTCAAACCCAAATTAAAAACCACCTGTACCGAGCAGGGCACAAACGGTTCAATACCCGCCCGACAAACCACCCACTTCCGACCCGCAGGCGCTCTGCCGCGTCACTGCTGCTTCAATCAATAAACAGGCTTCGGCGCGGCGGAGGCCGGGGTGGAGGAGGTCCCGGCGAGAACACAGCCCGCACCCGGCCTCCGGGAGCTCGCGGGCCCCCGAATAACGGTGCCCGGCGTTTCTGGCTTTTCGAAACGACCAACCGATCCTCTACCCTGACGGCCGCGGCATTTAAGCTCCACTGTGCCCCACGGCGGGGCCGGCCGAGTCGGGGCCCAGGC